TACTTGAATATTTCTACTATAACTATAATACAACCCAACAAGATAATGCCGAACAAAACTGAAACAGAGTGAAACAAAATAGGAACAACAAAAAATCATTATAATAGCCTCCTGAAATGTCCATCTGTCCTTTCTTCCTATCTGTTCCTCAGATGTGAGCGGTTTTTCTTCCATCTTACACATCTCCAGGGACAGGCAACTTAAAACAAAATTGAAGCAAAACAAAAGAAGAATCTACCCATCCTCTCACCCTGCCCTCAGGGGCAAGCAGTTTACCTTATCGCTTACCCTCAGTCATTCCCCATGTGGGCCACCAAATGCCGAAGTCTGGCTGGGTACAATTCACGAGCCACTTGTCAAGCAGAAACGAACTTTATTTTTAGTACACACACGCCACACCACACGAGCTCTTCAGGAATTCCCTCAGAGCCCAACTGCCACCACCGGCTTCCCACAAGCCTCTCCACCTCCCCCACCCTCCTGCTCTTGAGGCCAATTGGCTGGGTCGAGTGGGCAGAGCCCAAAAAAAGTCCCACAATGAGCAGCTCCATGGTCTGAAAGGGCGGGGAAACAGTCCAATGAGCATCACCGCAGAGGAGCCAATCAGTTGGCAGCTAGAAGTTTGCTTGGGCCGCTGTGAGCCAATCATCAGCTGACAGTTGGAAGTTTGCTGGCAGCTGGAAGTTTGCTGGCACCACAGCTGTGGCTCTCAACACGGTGGATTCACTGGTGTTTTTCCAAACATGTAAGAAAGAAATGATAATGTAATTTTATATTATCCCTTCCAGAAATTAGATGTAGAGGGAACGCTTCCTAATTCATTTCATGAGCCAACATTATGCTAGTTCCCAAACAAGGTAAAGACATTAGAAGAATGAAAGCATTCAGGCCAATATATCTCCTGAACACAGATGGAAAAATTTAACAGAATATCAAGTTGAAGTAAAAAAATGTATATAAAATACTATACATAAGGATCAAGTGGGATTTATTCAAGGTATGTGAGATATTATGTTCCTGCTTCAACAAAAGCCAATTAAGTCAATTTCACCAGCAATGTTTCCACTCATTTGGAGACCTGGGGAGAATAGCAGTTATGATTACTCTGTAGTCCACTGAAGAGCAGTGTATTGAGACTGAAGGAAGATGATTGTACTAGAAGCATTTAAATGCATTGTACAAAACAACAACAAAACCCCTGTAGTTCATAATAAAACATGATTTCTGATTTGTAATCTTTTCATATAAATGGAACAAAAGCTTTTTATTTTTACCTGAAACTAAACTCATTTTAAGAAAGACAAGTTTATTGTAGGAAAATCAGAAAATAAACATAATGAAAAAAAGACTTCATAATTGTTAACAATGTACATGCTTTTCCATCAAATTAAAATGTTCTAGGGAATGGGAATATCAAAATGAATAAGAGAAACAGTGTCTACTCATGATATTTACATTCTAGGTGGAGACATAGTAAGCACTAAAAACACAATAGCTTTTTAAAATATAATTTTAAAAAGGTGACAGGATAGATAGGGACTACCTTATAGGTGGAGGCTCCATGTGGGCAAAGAGTGCATCTTGACAAATTTTAGCAAAAACATAAGAGTAAGGCACTTGTATGAGGGGGTGCATTTTAGGCAAAGAAATGGGCAAGGTGCTAAGGCCTGAGGCAAGAAGCAGCTGAGTGTGTCTGCACAATAGGGAAGATGGATGTTGGTGAGAGGAAGCGACGTGGGAGGTGATGGTGGAAAAAGGGTAGCAAAGGGTCAGATTCTGAGGATCTCTGTAGATCAGATAATGAGTCTGGATTTTACTCTCAAGTCAGTAAGTACTTTTAGAGCAGAAGAAAAAGACCAAAGAATCTCTCATTGGCTCTTTGGATCTTAGAAGCAGGTGTAGATGGGATCTCTAGGTGAAGCCCTTTCTAATGCCCAGTAACCCTGCTGGGTTGAACCGGAGAATGCATTCCCAGTTGGGTCTACAGCCGGTGCTATGTAGCAAAGCCAATACCTGTGATACAGCAAAAGAAGCGTTTCAGTGGGGTATCTCTGAAGGCTCTACCTTGCTCCAGGACTCTCAGGTAATTGATGGGTCCTTTACTGCAGCTGCTTTGTAGTTCATAGGTTCACCAGTCCTCCTTCCTTCACCCTTCACAAGGGTGAAAGCAGGCCCCAGGAAAATTCTTGTGTACAAGCCCCTGAGGTCAGAATATGTCTACCAGAATCCCCACCCATGAGGGCCAGTACCAAGAGTGTGTTGGGAATGGGCCCACCACTGAATCCCACTAAGCTTGCATCTTTCCACATAAGCCATGCTAAGCAAAGGCTGAATTATAACTAACCAGAGGCTTGATGATCCTCCAGGATCAAGGCAGGAGAAGAGGCTTGTAAGGAGCTGCTACAAGGCCATTTCTTATCCAGTACCTTTCTCCCCTTGAGTTATCATATCATACGTCCCCATGGCCTCTGTGGTTCTGAGGAGGTATGAGCTCCCTGCCCTGCCCCCACCCTCAGAATAGAACTTCAGAATATTAAACTACTCAGCTTCAGTCTTTTGGCTGCTTAGCAACGAAATGTCCCACAACTCATGTTGCCATATGTCACCCATTTTGTTTTTGAGTGTGAAAAAAGGATTTTGGCACCTTTGCCTAATCTCCCTTTCACTGTCTATGTAAGTAACATATGCACCTAGAAGTGGATTGTTGTGCCTTAGCTGGTAGAATAACTGGGCCTTGAATTAATTATGTGTGCTTAACAGTGCTACGCTACCTTACCTTCACTCACATCAGCCTTTTGACCTGCAACCTCTTATATACACATACCTTCTTGTATATGCAATCTTGGAGAGGAGCAGAGAAGATTTTAAAAGTATTTATAATCTGAATAAACAGCAGGGCAAACCCTGCTATTATAAATTCCACAGGTACACAGTGCCTACCATGTACTAGTGCTGAGATGCCCTAGCAACGAGCTCTAGATCAGTGCTGATTAACATGTGAGTGAGTGCAGAAAAAAAATGCTCTAGATCTAATGCTGATTAACATGTGAGTGCAGAAAAAAAGGAATGCTTGCTCTCCTGGAACTACTGATGTAGATCAGTCATGCAGCTGCTGTGTTCCCACATAGATCTATTTGTAGCTGGAATTGACAAGTTTCCCTGGAAGTCAGCTGGAACCTAACCAGATTATTGTGAGAGACCAGCATTGTAAAAACAACCACACTCAAAGCTGCCTATCCATTTGTCAAGATAGAGGTCAAAAGAAGCCTTGTCAATGAGTTGCCCCTTTTAATTTTTTTTTATTCTTTTTTTTTCAGAGTAGAGATTAGAAATTTATTAAAGGACAGAAGAAAAGACTTCTCCCGGAGGAAGAAGGGGACCCAGGAGGTGGAATTGTAAGGGTCCGGCAAAACGTCGGAGTAAGAGACCACAAGAGACTGTCTTATGCAAAAGCAGAAGGGTAGGTTTATTTGGAGACCAGCATCCTGGGGCCCAAGCTCTCTATAGCAAAGAGATATAGAGCCCTGAGAACAGCTTGGGCAGAGCTTATATACTTTCCCTGGAGAGGGCAGCGAGAGAAGTTACATTTTGTAGTTTGGCAGTTGGGGACAGCTCATTCTGGGAACAAGATTAGCAGACAGTCCACAGTTAGGGACAGCACATTCTGGGAACAAGATTAGCAGACAGTTCTTAAGATTTCAACACTGTTTTGTTAAGCATATAGAGAAACGGAGTGACAAGTACCTATCTTATTAACTTTTCATTCTCCACTTCTTCTTCTGGTTACTTTTAATCATAAAAGTGATCATTGGGGGGTGTCACATTCAGTGTCTGCTAGTGGGGTATATTGTTGTCTGATTACCATAAATTTGATTTGTCCAATTTGGGCCTGGAGAAAGGAAACTACACAGTTGAGCAAACAGGGTCCTAGAGTTAGCAACAATATAAGAATTATTAAAGGACCGGCCAGGGCTGATAAAAGAATAGTTAACCAGGGGGACTGTGTGAACCAAGATTTATATCACCCTTTTTGGGTCTCTCTCTCTCATTGACGCTCTTTAAGGCGTATTTTTAGTTTACTCATAGATTTTTTTACAACTCCAGTATGGTCGGCACAAAAACAACATTTTTTCTTTAATGCAGCACAAAGGCCCTCTTCTCTCAAGAAGAGGAGGTCCAACCCTCGCCTGTTCTGTAAAACAACTTCAGAGAGAGAGGTTAAAGATTCCTGTAAAGCTGTGATGGAGGTTTTTAATATCTTTAAGTTTTGATCCATTGCTGTTTCTAATTGGGTCATTTGTCGTGTTTCATGGACCAGGGCAGTAGTCCCTGTGTCCACCCCTGCAGCAATTCCCATTCCTAATAAGATGGCTAAAGTGAGGGATACAGGTTCCTGGCGGAACCCAGTTGTATGTTCCCTTATTTGATCTTTAAATGAACCTGCATCATGATAGAGCATTCTGGGAAACATCTGCACCATTACATTTGTTGACCATTTTATGAAAACATAAATAATGTTTAAGTATATAGAATTATACTGTCGTAGGGATGGACAAGGCAAGGCACCTAAGATAGCACTGAAGACAGGGAAACAGTCCTATTTGGTTGCAACCAGATTTAGAGGGCATTGCTTTTGTTGTAATCAATTAATCCCCTGAACCCCAAGTTTAGGTAGTTTCAGAATTTTGTACTCAACATATAAGGGAAGGGGCTCAGAAGTTCACAGTCTATAGAAGTTTACAAAAAGCAGTTTTTGTTTCTGTTTTTTTTTTTTCCTCTGTTCTGGGCAAGTTAACTTTTCAAGGACACCTGGGAGAGGGAGAATTTTTTTTTCTTGCCAGCTGTTATCATGGAGCCCAGTTGATAACTTTTTATCTTAGAAATGTAGCCATCTCTGTGAAGCCCCAGCTCAAGGCCAGAGGCCTTGTTCACATATTTTGTGAAAAACTAGTAAGGGGGTGTCTAGCTTAGGAGTGCTGATTTTTTTCAGCCAGTGGCCAAGTAGAACAGAGCAACATGAAAAGAGGAAGTTTATCTATACTGAACTCTTTTATAGGGACTCTTTTGCTGAAAGTCCTAAAGTCAGTCATAGTGAAGACTTCTGGAGAAGGTCAGTTAAGACTTTTCTGTGGGCCTGGTACAGAGGGGGAGGACGGGGAAGGCGGTGCTGAGAGCAGCTCCATGGATCTGAGAATGAGGAAGGAGAGATGTAAAAGAATAATGGGAAAGGGGCTTGGGATTTTCCTAGCAACAAAAACTTGAGTAGTAGAACAGGTAGAGCAGAGGGGAAGACTGGAGTGTGTATCCCAAAAAGCCTGTGAGGGAGTTTAAATTTTTAGTAACCTGTTTTTAGTAGTGATAAAGCAACTTTAAAGGCCATTTTCATTACATCTTGGATAGTCCTGGTGGGACCCGGTGTGGGCACTGACAGGAGAAGAGAGGAGTGAATGGGTGGAGAGATACCTCAGTACCTGTTACTTCAGCAAGAGGGCAATGGTCTGAGAACTGGCGGAGGTTTGGGTTCCATTAGGTAGCCCCTGTATGTTTACATCCTTATGACTTACAGAAGAAGTTGGTTTTTCCCCCACACAGCTGTGACTGTTTGTGGCTTTGATAGTCCACCGAGCAAATATACTAATCTAGGTTAACCAACCTGCATCTGGCTCTCGTGTCCCTACATCCATAATGTTTGTTTCTATTATCTATGGTATGGAAGGGATTTAATGGAATTTTAGTGGGATTTTTTATCAGGGATACCCAATAGGAAAGATCTATAGCCAGCTGACATGATTTGTGATTAGCCATCACTGTTGTACAGGCTGATGAGGGTTAGGACCACTGGTGGTCAAGGGGAGAGTCTATAGCCTTATCCACACGGCGAATACGCAATTTGAGAGAGTTACCAGTCTTTTCCAATTTCCAACCATTATCTGGACAGGGCGCAGGCTTGAGATGAGAGGCATGTTTCCAGGAAGTGATTCTATCTACCTTTACCGCTGTAGGTGTTATAAGTAGCACCTGGTATGGTCCTTTCCAGCGGGGTTCTAGGGATGACACCTGATGTCATCTTACATAGATGAAGTTTCCCACTTGATATTGGTGTGGAGTTCCTTCGTTCCCAGGTTGGTAGGCAGTGGCCAGCTGTTTCCACAGGTATCACTGAGTTTTTTAAAGAGGTTTTAGTCTGTCAAGCAAGGGGGTATGAAAGGAATCGATAGGTCTTAGAGTTGGGGTCAGGTCCCTTATTGGAGGAGGGGCACCATAGAGAATTTCATAGGGGGTAAGGTTACACAAAGAAATAGAGGGAGTATTTCTTGTACGAAACAGCGCATAAGGCAGGAGATAGTCCAATCTTTTATGCCGGTTTCTAAGCTTAATTTCGTCAAGGTCTCTTTAATGGTTCTATTTATTTTTTCTACCTGTCCTGAGCTCTGGGGTCTATAAGCACAATGTAACTTCCAATTAATCCCCAGGGTCCTGTCTAACCCCTGACTTACCTGGGCCATGAACACCGGTCCATTATCGGACCCTATTACCTTAGGCAGGCCGTATCTTGGAAAAAATATCTTTCAGGATCTTCTTGACTACCATTTGCGCCGTTTCTTTTTTTTGTGGGGAAGGCTTCAATCCATCCTGAAAATGTGTCTACAAAGATTAGGAGATATTTAAGTCCATACCTTGCTGGCTTAATTTCAGTAAAGTCCACTTCCCAGAATTGTCCTGGTCTGGTTCCTCGAAGGCGCCTTCCTATAGGAAGCCTGGAGGGGTAAGCATTAACCAATTGACAGACCCGACAGGCTTTTGTTACTTGTTCAGCTATTTTTTTTCGCTGTGAGCCGGTTAGTGGAAAACTCTGTTCTTGATCCTTCAGGAATGCCTGCAGTTTCTTTGAACCAAGGTGAGTGAGTTGATGTATATTTTTTACTGACATAGTTAAAGCCATGACTATAGGAGTTTTTACTGAAGGATTTAGAAATTCCATTTGGGGGCCTTCAGGGTTAAAAGTTATTCTGGCCCGGAGTTTGATGAGCAGATCTCTGCCCATCATTGGGGCTGGGCATTCTGGGATCACTAGGAAGGAGTGATGGACTTTTCCTTTTCCCAGGTCCATGGTCCTCTTAGTTGTTCAAGCTCGATATTTACTGCCATTAGCCCCTTGAACTAGAGACCTTTTAGTTGATAGAGGGCCCAATGGGGCCTTAGGGCTGAATATATTGCCCCTGTATCCACTTCAAAGTTTACTGGGGTCCCCTCCACTTCAAAAGTTACCCTGAGCTCAGGGAGGGGATCCGAGCCCCGACTTTCCTAGTCATC